TCTTAAGTGGCTACTGCATATTTTGAGAAAGTCCAGGATTGGAAAGTGGGGTGCTCACTTCTCCCCCTGGATAGAGCTGAGAAGGGCTACTAGGCTAGATGGTAGATTCCCAGCTGGAGCAAAGCCCTGACGCACAGAAAGCAGCTCTGAGCAAAGTTAAGCCTGCAGAGATGCTTTTATACAGCATAAGGAGGGCAACGGCTTAGGGCCTTCCTTGGAGCAGCAGGGCGTCAGGGAGGGGGTCCCCTTGTTGGGGTGGTGTCGGGGCTTACCCTGTGGTAGGGGAGTCAGACACACAGACAGCTCGTGGCGGTAATGGAACGTAGGTTAAGTGCTGTGACAAAAGTCCGGTCTGAGCCCTCCCCGTTGGCACAGCAGGTTGGAGCGCTGCGCTGTGAAGCTAAGCCAAGCTGTGGCCACTTCAGTGCAAGTTTGATCCCCGCCCGGGAGGTGACCCACAGGGCACAGCAGACCTCTCCTGGCCCGCCCGCTGCTCCCCACAGCAGTGTACTTTGTTGATCTGCCTGTTCTGTTCCCCGCTCTGTCTCTGGTGAAGCCTTTCGCTGCCCCTGCACTTCTGGCCTGTACCCCAGTTCTGTATAAATAAAATATTTTTTAAAAATCAGCTAAACTTCAAAAAAAAATCCAGTCTACTTGCACACTGTAACCATTCTGAAGTCATATTTGAGTCGGGTTGGGTCAAGATTTAGGAGGGGAACTTAAGACGGAGAGAAATAGGGCAAACTATAACCAAGCCACGACAGACAGACATGTACCAGGGACTGGGTGTATCTTCTGTGACTGACGTGTGGCCTGAACCCAGAGCAAAGGCAGAAAGAACTTGAGAGCGAGACGTAGACAATTCCAGCCTTCCCGTTAAGGAGGGGAGCTGAAGCCAGTGGGATATGGGGGTTCTTTGGATGTGACTGAGTGAATGTAATGGGTTGAATAGTGTCCCTTGGTGTTCATTTCGACTGGCATCTCAGAATGACCCTATTTGGAAACAGGGTCTCTGAGTCCAGTCAGTAGGGCCTCATGGTAAAGTCATTCTAGAGGATGACCAGGATGACGCTAAGTCCAGTAACCGGTAACTTTCATGAAAAGAAGGCACAGCCAGGTGATGTGAAGCAAGGCAGAGATTGGAGTTAGGTGGCCACAAGCCAGGGAACATGCGGAACCATCAGACGCTGGCAGAGGCCAAGAAGCATCCTTTTCCAGAGTCTTCGAGGGGGCGGCGTGATTTACCAACACCTTGATTTTAGATTACAGCCTCCAGAGTCGGGAGAGGATAATTCCCTGTTGGTTTAAGCCACTTGTTTGTGGTAATTTGTCCGGACAGCCCTCGGAAACCCTATAGTGCAGAAGAACATTTGAGCTCAGCATGAACCCTGTTAGTCTGGGGTATCTGTAGGCCTCAAGGGTGGGGGGAGGGGGTGGGGAGGCCACTGGGGAGCGGACCTGTGGGAGAGCAGTGGGGGGTGAAAGATGTCACTTTGTGAGGTGTCCCTACAAAATCCTTAGGGAAAAGTCAGGAGCAGAAGAGACCCCAGGGCAGAGAGTTTGAGCCAGAAAGTAGAGTGGAAGCCAGTCCTTCCACCATGGGAGGGGCCGCACACATAGAAGGTGTGAGAGAGGGAAGACAAGGCTGGGAAGGAAGGGCGAGGAGGGGGGAGTTGCCCCTGTGGGACAGTGGAGAGGTTTCCACAGGGTGTGACGAGGAAGCAATCCCAATTGGAAAATTGTTTGATAATCAGTCGTTTCCACACTCTTGTGCTGGTTGAGAAGAGGTGGGCGGTGGAACAGTAGAGACAGCCAGCATTGACTACTCCCCTAATAGAGCATGATTGTGAAGACAGAGAAATGATATTGATTGCAAGATGAAGGAAGAAATACGAGGGAACTTGATGCTGATTTATTTCTTCAGAATAAGATACTTTTCATTCTATTTTGGAACTGCGGGAAGGAAATAGGGAGAGGATGCAAATAACCAGTGAATCAGGTTTCCAGAGAAAAGATTTACAAATATTTTTACTGTGCACCTACTATGTGTCAAGTAAAAACCAACCAGGTTTTTACTTGAATGAGCTTCATGATCTTCTCAACACTCCTGCAGAATAAGGATTGTCCCTGTTCTTTAGAAGTGAATGCTGAGGTTGGGAATAGTGAAGTCATTTTCCCGAGTTCCATCCATCTCAGATATGAGCCCCGGTCTGTTGACTCGTAAGTCACAGTTCTTTTCATCATCGTATTTTCCATTGCCATGAAGAAGGCAATATCCTTTTCTGATTCACAGAAAATAAGCAGCACAGAGAAATAAGCAGATTTGCCATGGCGGGAAAGGAAGTTGAAGGTGTTTCTCCGACAACCTGTGTCCTTATTAAGCTGTGAATCCAAGTTATCAGCTGCAAAGGAGAAAGAGTGAAGCCAGGCGCTGGGTCTTAGAAGGGGAGAGACTGAGGGTCATCTCCATGGTTGCAATATAATAGGAGGCCAGTCAGGGACGAATGGAGCTTGCTTGACAGTTAGGCTGCCCTGGGGTTGGTGGACTGGATTTCCAGGGAAAGTTCTAATCTGCATCTTAGAGTCAGTAGTTTATGGACATCTAATTAGAGAGGTTTTATTGACAGCTGAGAAAACAGTAACAGATCCTTCCGATTAAACTTGAGATACCACCCAGGCTAGGGCCCCAAGACCCACCAGGAGCTATCCCACAGATTAGCAGGCCCAACTGTTGCTGAAGAGGAAAAGGCTGATCAGCATGGAGTTGACACTCTGCTTCAAGTCCTCCCTCCACCTTGCTGAAGCCAGGTGTGCTCCCAGCCATGCTGCCATTCTGATCTGAAAATCACCCAAGTCTTTAACTCAAAAATAACATCTGCTGATTTGCATGAGAGTTTCACACTTCCTAATTGGGTTTAATGCCCAAATGCTGAAATTCACTTGTTTGAACCATAGTTAAGTGGCTCAGAGTTTTGGGTGATAACCAAAACTTCTTGCAGGCTCCCGTTTTGATGCTCCCAGACCCAGCTCCCTACACTGGGTGGCTGTTTCTCGCTGCCTGGTACCGTGCACTCGTTGAATGGACCCTCCTGTGACTGTGGGTCAAAAAGGACAAATCAACTCACTTGAACGCTTGTTATTTCTAAAGGGTCTCAGGGCGCATCCCCAAGGTCGCTGGTCCATCGAGAGCTCTGCCATGGGACCTGAGACCTCCAGGGTTTCAAGTCACATGGAACTGCCCCTCCTTGGAACTCCCTGGCACTGGGTGTGAGGGCAGCAGTTATGGAGTGAGAGGTTGGAGGGGAGACAGCAAAGAAGGTGTTAATGAATAATCACAGAGCCTCATTCTCCATAAAGGCAATTACAGGGATTGATTGTTTCCGTGTTTCCTTAGTCACGGTTCAGCTTGCCTGTTTCACTCGGATTAAGACAGATGAATGCCACACACAGAGGCATGTGATGCCAGGAGAATTACCGATGGTACACCCTGGGCCTCTCCCTGCTTGTACAGGTGCCCTGGGGGTCTCACTCAGCTGGGCCAAAGGGGGTCACAGTTGCTTTGGGGGTGAAGCCCATGGTGGGTATTTTGGACTTTGGAATTTTAGATAGTGCGCTCTTTCCTACCATTCGTGAGGTGACTTCGCAGCTCCGCCTGCACAAGCAGCCCCTGGAAGACCTGGTAAACACAGCTGCCTGGGCCCCACCCCCAGAGCTTCCCACCCAGCCATGGCTGGACCTCAAAATTTGCATTTCTAACAAGTTGTAGGCTGCTGTTGATACCCTAGGTTCAGAGACCCCACTTTGAGACCCACAGGGGTGAAGATTAAGAGCGTGGACACTGAGACCGAGCTACGAGGTTTTCAATCCTACTTCTACTACTCTCAAGCTGTGTGATCGTGAGCTGTTGAGTTACCGTCTCTGTGCCTATACAGAGATGCTCATAACAGTGCCTGTTTTATAGGATGGTGACTAGGGATAAACAAACGAGGATTTCGAAGGATGTAGACCAGTGTCTGCCACAGAGTATGTGTTCTGTTGACTCTTGGGACTGTGAACATATCTGCCTGTACCTCGTTTCTCCAATTCCCGCAGCCCCCATGAGTTTCTGGGCCATTTGACCCATTAGTCCTCAAGCCCTTTTCTGGTGGCGGTAATGCCCAGCTCTGTACCAGCAGGAGGGAGATTACATCAACCTCCATCAAAATCCTCTTCTTGAACTCCTTTAACCCTTAAAACCTACTGAATGCGTAGAAAATGACTCAGTTAAGCAGGACATTTGGGCTGCTCTGCATTTGGGGCTTCTCTCCCCCATCCAGGCAGAAAAGAGGGGCTGCCTCTCTCTCACGGTCAAGTTCAGCTCAGCTTCACGCTGATTGCTGTCATCTGTTGAGTGCTTCCTCCGTGCCTGGCATGGCATGTTTTATGCACATGATCTTATTTAATCATTGCTGGAGCTCAGAGAAATTAGATAACTTGCCCAAAGTCACATAGCTACCAAGGGACAAAGCCAAAATTAAAAGCCAGGTCTGTCTGACTTCATTAACGTGTGGTCTTAAAGTTTTACTATGCCGTTGCTATGAATGGAACATGAATATTTATGAGTGTGGATGTTTATATGCATATGTGAATATTTTATCAACATTAAGGCACGGTCCTCAGGTAGCCAGCTGTGGGCCCAACGTAAGCACCTTAAAACTAGGAGTGCCTCAGTTGCAGGAGTTTGCCTTCAGATAGCCTGTATTGGGGCTCCCAGAGCACCTCCCCCTGGAAACGTGCACTGAGGGGTCCTGCCTCCTGGCTGGTTATGCTCGGCACTCTGCCTTCTGGACGGAGCATGTGCATGTTACCCAGGGCGGCCTTCCATGCCTGAACTGGGATCTTAATACGTCTGCGCAGGCCAGGGCTTTGAACCCGTGGCCGGGAGGGCACCTGGAGGGTACTTTGAAGATGTGAAGAAAGGAAACTACGATGCTAATGAAACTTTACTATTTTGCTCATAGTGTTCCTTCCTGCCGAAATTCTCCATCCATATAGAAACCAAGTATGAGGACAATAAAGGAAGCAACGACAGGGTGAGTGTCCCCCCGCCGGCCGCGCCGAGCCCCTGGGCCAGTGGCGGGGCTCCGAAGGTCCGGCCTTTGGATTCCGAGATCCGTTTCCCTTGGATTTGTCCCTGGATTGATTTTGTTGTCCAGCTTCTTTGCCTGCTTCCCGCGGGCCCCTGTGCAGGAATCTATGTGACCCAAGTAACGGTCAGGCCGGCCGAGAGGCTGGTGTGGACCCTGGAATGCCTGCGTTGGCTTTCCCTGGGATTAAGCGCACGCCTTCCCGATGACTGTTCACCCCCAGGAGCCCCAGTCCAGTGGGTCTGTGTGTGGCACCCTAAGAGTACTTTCTGGACGGCAGTGACGTTCGCAGCTAGACCCATGAACACACACAGCCCACCGTAAAATCCAGTGTGCTTCTCCCGCAAGACATGCTGCCTCTTAAATTTCAAGCAGTTATTTCACTTACTGGTATCGCTTGTAAGCCATCTTCTGACCTGTTACCTCAGACTTCGCTTCTATCACAACATGTCCCACTTCTCTTTGGTAGTGAAGGCTGTCACCCACCACAAGCCTCACCCCAATACTGGATTCCTTCGAGATCCATTTAGGGAAAAACTTGGGGCTAGTCGCCTAAAGCTTCATCTGCGGATTCTTATTTTATTTGTATCTGTTGCATTTGTGGAGAAATAAAGATGGGGACTGTGCCCAAATGAAAGGGAGTGTTTCCTGCCGAGATGCATGCAGGAATTCATGTCCGAATTGCTTTTACTTATACAGTCTGAAATGTGGGGGGAGGTTATTATTTTTTAGTCTTATCAATCAAATTCCCTAACCTCCTTTTCCTCTCTGACGCTGTCCTTATGAATAGTTACAAACTGCTCTATTTGTAGGGGTGCAGAGACGATGCCCGGCCTCCCTGTGATCCCTAAAAGTCAGTAGGACCAGCGGCATCCATTTTAGCCTCTGTTCATTTGGGAGAGTCCAGCTGAGTCCAAAAAATGTACATAGGAATCATTTACTACTTTATATCCCCTTTTGGCAAGCTGAAGTTCCTGTTACTAATCTCTGAGCACTCGCCGAGCAATCTAGTGTCACTACTGTCCTAGGGCTCTATAACACCAGGCTCGCCACCCCAAAGCCCATGCATGCTCAGAGTCTGTGTCGGCTGTCTGTGCCTTGGGCCAGGCCTCCTGAGATGCAGGTCCGCCTTCAAGAGCAGCACCCACTCAGGCCTGACCCACCGTTGCTTCCTCCATGACCCGGGGCCTCTTGTATTCTCAGTTCTCTCCTTCTCCCCAACTTGCTGACTCTGAGATTCCCCAGGGACCGAGCTCCTTCTCTCTCTATCATGGCATCTAAGGTGCTCAAGTCTTGCTGCAGTACAGAGGCCCTGACCGTGGTTCTGCCCACAGAACCACAGGTTCTGCTTCGTGGCCACCAAGCAGACGAGCCACTTGATCGGGCCTCTTCTGTTTCAATTTGCCTTCCTCCAATTTACATATTCAGCAACAGCTGCTGGTCACCCAGCTGGTTCAGAGTTGGTCCCAGGGAGGCAGAAAAGGAAGACTTCATTGATTTTCATTCACATTTGTTAATGCTTCAAAATCAGGACATGAGAAATATATGTTTATGCAATAATACTTTAATGATTAAAACATAGCTTTGTCCAAGGGTTCAGAACTAGAGCCTAAGCAGATGGTGGCTTGTTCTCTTTCTGCCCAAGGATAAGTAAGGAGTTTTTGGTGGGAGGCAGAGTTGCTAAAGAAAGCGGCACTGTAGTGGATATTTCTTGACTCATGCTTTTCCAAATTATTTAATAAGCCTAGTTCATGTCTTTGCATTTTCTGAGCATATAGTCTTATCAGTCAGCTACCATTTTTCATGCGCTATCTACACCCTGTGTCTTCCTCTACCTGTCAAAAATTTAATAAAATTGATGACGATAAGAAGCAATAATTAAGTTGAAAGACACGAGTGATCATCATATTGATTAGTGATTGAACAGTGTATGTGTTGTGAGCCTTTTAGCAACTGCCATATAGGTACTATTTTTATAGACCCCAATATCTGGTGGGGGAAAAAAATAGTGGCGGTAACCAGATATAAACATCTCCTCTTCCTTGTTAAAATAAAACTGGTATATTTATGATTGCGAAAACCTGTAAACGTTGATTACATTAACCAGGACACAATGAGAAGTTGTCCTAAAATGAGGCCCATTTATTTCATGCACATACTGATGAGAATTATTTAGGCCTTAATTAGGACTGGGGAGGGTGGCACCATGCCAAGGAAGGTCCTGTTGTTTGTCCAAGGCCATAAATCTAGATCTGGGAGAGTCGGTGCTTAGCATTCACGGGCAGCTGCTGCCAGGTTACTGTCGTTCAGCGGGGTTAATGGGGGGCAGCTCTGCCTTCCCTTCTTCTAAGCAAAGCAGGCACCACTGTTGCTGGCAACCTTGGTGAACATTGGATTCACCTGAGAAGTCTAACAAGGGCTCTTGCCTGGGTCTCCCCCATCTGCCCCCCAGAATTCTGATTTAATTGGTTCTGGGTACAGGCTGGTCTAACCCCCCCCCCAACCCAACACACCTGAAGGCAAGAACACCAGCTAAATCTGATATGTTTTCTTTAGGGAACAGAGCATAGGGCATCCCCACCCTCAGTGAAGGGCTCAGCCAATGTTTCTCACACGTGGCTGCAGATTTAAGTCACCTGCGTCGTCCAGCCGACTCATGGATGCTACATCCCTGTGCCAAGTTTCTGGTTTTATTTGTCTGGGCTGGGCACTAGGCGTTGGGATTTGCAAAACGCCCCCGTAGGTAAATCTAAGGGACATCAAGGCAGAGAACTACAGATTTACAGGAAATATGAAAACACTATTTTAAACCAACTCAGGAAGTGGGGCTCTCCAAGTCCCTTCATACCCCTGGAACTAGAACAGCTCACAAAAAATATGTTTATCACCACAACCACCCACACAATAAAAGGGCCTTAGGGCTCCATATTGGTTCTAGTTAGCCACTGTTTCTCAGCAGTGACACGCCTTCTGATCGCATGGAAAGAATGTCCAGTTCAGTTCCTGGAAGCGTCAGACTCTATCCTTCACAAAGCTGTCCTTGGAGGTTGCTAAAAGAAGTATTTGGAATTTATTTCATTTCTACTTCAGCTGTGTAGTAATGAAAGAACACAAAGTTGTTCTTTGTGAAACAAGAAGATCAGGAGTGAAATCCCAGTTCTGTGACCCTAAGCAGCCTTGGTTTCTTTATCAAGAAAATAGAGTAAATACTGTTTGCACCCCTGTGTAGCGGATCCAGACTGGTTAAGTTCCCCAAAAGCATTTAATAAGCTGTAAAGGGCTATGCAAATATGGGGGTGTTGTTGCTGTTGCAGCCAGAACCTTGGGGTTAACTGTGTTAATGATGATTTTTTAATGAGACTCTCCTTTTGTCTGATTGTCAACAAGCCATTTTTTGTTCAACCAATTTGGAGTTCCTGCTATGTGCCAGGAATTCTGAGAGGCATGGAGGATACAAGAAGGCAGACCAGACCTCCACCAGTCAAGGCTTGGGGAAGGCTGATAATAAGCAAGTAAACAGGAAAGAATTTTAGCAGTAATAAGTGTTAAGAAGGCAGTTAAGAAATAGGATGAGAAGGGTCTGGTTGAAGCCTTGTGGTAAGGAAGTACCCCTCAGAAAAGGTCTCCTGTGAGACCTGAGGACAGGAAAGAGTCACCTGTTAGAGGAGTCATGAGGGCAAGGGAGCTGGAGTGAGCCAAGTCTGTCCCTCTCACCCCAAATTCATGTGTTGAAGCACCTCAGAATATCATTGTGTTTGGAGGTTGGGCCATTAGTGTGGACACTTATGTAGTCTGATTGGTGTCCTTAATAAAAGGGGACACTGGGGGCCCTCCCTGGTGGCGCAGCGGGTTGAAGCACAGCACTAACAAGCTAAAGCCACTTCCACATGAGTTCGATCCCTGCCTGCCCGGGAGGTGACCACATGGCGTGGCAGACCTCTCCTGACCCTCCCGCTGCTCCCCTCGGCAGTGTACTTAATCGATCTGCCTGTTCTGCTCCCCACTCTGTCCCTGGTGAAGCCTCTCACTGCCTTTGCACCTCTGGCCTGTACCCCAGTTCTGTATGCACAAATAAATAAATCTTGGAAAAAAATTAAAAAAGAGGACACGGGAACCCTCAAGGAGAGACTAGGGCTGTATAAGCACAGCGGGAAGACCTTGCAGAGACCGCCCTCTTCAGCAACAAATGAGGCCTCAGAAGAAATTCAGCTGACACCTTGATCTTGGACATCCAGCTTCCAGAACTGTGAAGAAATAAAATTCTGTCATGTAAGCTATAGTGTTTGGTTAGATACTGGATGGTCCGAGCTGTGGTGTTTTGTTATGCAGTTCTAGCAAAGACAAAGAAAGACCCCAGACAGAGACTGGTACATTCCAAAAACTGCCAGAAAACCAATGACCAGAGACCAATGAAGCCATGACAAAGAGTTTGAATCTTAGTGCAATGAATAAGTTATTTAAGGATTTTAAACAAAGGAACGACATGTTATTTAATAGGGTTTTGAAATCAACTTTTGGTGTGACTTAATCTTAAAATTACATAAAAGTTGCCAAGGTAGAACAGTCTCTCACACTTTTTATCAGCTTCCTCAAATGCTAACATCTCAAATAACCAGGGTATGTCAAAACTACAAAGATAAGATTTCTCCAGTTTTCCCTCTCATGTCCTTTTGCTGCCGAGACCCCAGGGTAGGATCTGTGTTTTCATTGTGTGCTTTGGCCTTTTTATGGAGAACAGTGGTACCAGCTTCCCTGGTAGCGAGAGGTCTCATTGGCAGGAGATTACAATAATTCAGGCCAGAGATGATGGTGGCTTGGACTAGAGACCTGGCAGCAGATAAAGAGGAGGGAGAGAGATATATTTGGAAGCTGGCTTTCTCTTACAGCTAATGCACACTTGGAGGAACAAAATAAAGATGGCATTAGGATGTCTAGCTTTGTCTGTT